AGGAGGGTAGTTGGAGGGCGGGGGGGGTGTTTGAAGGAGGTAAACCAGTGTTTTACGTATGATGTGTATGGCCTTAGACTGCTGCCTCTCTGATCACAATAGAGGAATCGCTGATCAGCAGATGAAATCTTGAGTATGTGGCTAGGAGCACCCAGTAATAATGGTCATCTTGCTTGGGAATTACTTAGGTTCTTCTATTCAAGAACATTGGATGCAGCCAACAGATTTTGGGGGATAGACCTCCCCTTCTTTAGTGCTTGAATACTTACTTCCTTGAAGGAGGTAAACCAGTGATGAAAGTATGATGCGTGTGGACCTGGTTCTAGTCCTAGGCTGCCGCCTCTTTGATCACGATAAACGAATCGCTCACCAGAAGATCAAATCTTGAGTATTTGCTTAGGAGAACCTAGTAAAAATGGTAAGCTTGCTTGGGAATTAATTTAGGTTCTTGTATTCAAGAACATTGATACAGCCAACACATTTTGGGGTATAGGCCTCCCTTCTTCTGGGCTTAAAAATGATTTATGGTGGGCTCATGAGGGCATTCACTATAAGGCCTGGATAAGGCTAAAATGGGGCCGGTGATGTCAACATAACCTGACCCCAATGAGAGCAGCCAACTGTACTGCTATGCAGAAGGTGTCCTCTCCTCCTAGCCTGGTTTCCTCAATGGACTAAAAACACATCCTACTCTCCCCCTAGCCTGCTTTCAAGATTTGGAGTACAAACACCTCCTACTATCCACATCTCCATTACACAGGGAAGAAGAAAGGTTGTGTAGTTCACAGAAGATAGCTGGGAAAGCTGATTACAGTTTAGCCCTCCCATCTCGGAGATCAGGATGCTACAAGGACACTGTCACCTTTTTACTGTACTTGCATAAAATATGATTCAAAGGTCAAGGTGGGTGGCACAGAGGTGCTGTAAGCTGGGAGGGGTGGGTGCTGTGACTGAAAGGTACTCCATTCCAGGGACTGGTAAGCTGCAATATATTACATCTTAGTCCTTGGGTTTAGATACACTTTAAAGGTGAACTTTGAGCACCAATATTTTAGCAGCTGTACGTGTGTTATTATCTATTTACATCTGCTGCAAACTTTTTGGGGTTTTTTTTCTGCTAAAAAAATGAATTGCCCTTTAATATAGTGTGTTAGTACAGCTGGGGCTATACTTCCCTCCATTGGCCAACACCACTGTTGCAAGGATGATTGATACCACTGCTGGTGTTGTGTCTCTGCCCATGTCTTCACTTGCCTACCTACCCAAATTGGTTGCAGCGTCATGCAGACATTAAAATAATGATGCTCGGAGCTCAGTTTTAATTTGGTATCATTAAAAAATCTGAAATCAGGAACGGATGTCAGCGTGTTGTCCAATCTTGAATAAAAACACGTGCGCTCAGGAAGAGACCTTCACATTAGATGGTAAAATGAACCTAATTAACATTTACGATGATGGAATGCCAAGAAGGTAATGTACAAAAGGGCTTAGCTTTTAATCCAACTCAGTGACGCCCGCGTGCTCCAAACAATCATAATGAGTCTTCTATTTTAAATTCGGCTTAATTGCCTTTTACTTTCTATTTTCTTCAAGTGTATTTATAGCCCAAACTTCCTATATCGTTTGGGACAGAAGAGTTTTGTGTTGTCCATGTATTGTACCATTGGGGAAATCTCCCTTCACTTCCTGCCAGAGAGATGCAATAGGAAATGAGGAGAACCCACCTCTTAGATGGTTGTCCCCGGAACAGATGTCCCCATTGGATGGGTTCCCCTTACCACTTGTTCTGGGGACAACTCTAAACCTTTGGATTTCCCTTCACTTTCTTTCTCGATGACAATGGCCACAAAGAGAAAAAGAGGGCTGAATCTCCCCATTGGGGACAAAGACACCAACACAAACCAGGCAAAGGGTCTACGGTCTAAGTTTGGGATGCCATGCCTAAAGATACACTAGAGATGTCTGGAGGTACACTATAAAATCATCAAATAAAAGAACTCGGAAGTTGACTACAACTCCAGGAATGTAAAAAAAACGTCCCTTTCCTGTGTGGGGGTATCCCTAATGGTTAGGTGCTCGGTTTGTCTACGGGGCTCAAACAAAGCTGATATACTCACTTGTTCCTCGGATCCACTGGGCTACTAGACCGGTCCCTGCAGCCTCTTCTCCCAAGGGCTCCGCTGACTTCATCACTTGGAATGCAGGTCCATTGACTTGTATTAGACGTGAGGATGCCCAGGGGCATTCCATAGCTGGTAAGTGTTGACCACTATGGGACTAAGGATCAGGTGAGTATATCTGCCTTATATGAGCCCTCTGGACAAAAACGAGCACTTAACCCTTGCAATGCTGGGGTAGACCTTGGAGTTCTTCCTTAAAACGGGGCTACAGGAAATGAGCTACATGCATGATAAGCCCCCCCCCCCGTGTTATAGAAACATGGAGAGAGGGAGCAGTTCAGCAGGACTTCATGGTATGAGATTTTACTGTAGTCCAGCAGGTTTGACAACATTACATAGTTACATTGTTGTTAAGGTTGAATAAAGACAGGTCCATCTTGGTCCAACATTGTTCAGGATCTCAGGGCAGCAGAGACAGCGTTGTCAGCTGGGGAAATGGGGAAATGTCCATGTACGAGTAATGCAGATGTGTACTGCGTGCTTTTTTATTATGCCCAGACCAATTTAATGGGCACCGTATTGCTGAAATATTCAAGAAGAAACATGTTTTCCAAGGTAGAACCATAGCCCTTTTGTAAATGACCCCTTTGGCATATAAATGAATAGGTTAGACATACATGACAACATATAGACATACATACAGGAACTAGTTGAGATGAATATGGAAGCTGCAAAGAAAAGCTACATCCAAAGATGAAATAAAGTAACGTAGGTCCGATACCTGTAGTTGCTGAGACCCTAATAGGTTGCATTCGTTGACCGTGAATAATACCATAGAGGTAGATGGTGTAATGAGTATTGGGTAATAAACCTGAGATGGAAGTATTCCTGAGATTGCCAGGGACATTAAATTTCACTGGCTCCTGTAACCTGTCCTCATCAGTAACCTCTACATCAAATCCATCAAAGGAATCTTGTGTGGCTGTCCAGGACAAGTCAAAGCTCTCAGGTGTGACACCGGTGACGGCAAGGTTGTCTACTTCTGGCTTGTTTTCTGAGCGAGGAAAAACGTCATTCGATTAAAACCGTTGCATGACCAACAACACCCACGTGGATGCCTTTGTCAGCAGCCCGCAAACCACGCCAGAAGAAGAAAGCAGAAGTCTGGTGCGAATTTCAGCGATGTAGCAGGAAGCCACACTTAAGCCAAGGTTTTCAGTGAAGCTCAAAAAAAACACCCGCGTAAGCAGTTCAATTGGCATTTTGACATGCTGGCACGTACATGCAAATGTAAAGCTCGGAGCATGAATGAAAGAAGCAGATGAACGCTCAAGCATCTGTCTTTGTGTATAATCGCCTTGTGTCCAGAGTGTGAGAGCCAAGGGAAAAGTCTGCTGCAAATCATTGTATTCTATTTTTACAGGAGTGGTTTATTTTAAATTACCTTTCTGTTGTTCTAATTGACCTTCATTTTTTATTGAAGTGTATCTAAAGCCAAAACTGTGCTTTAGATAGATTAGGGGATAGATAAAACTCAAGGGGGATTTTCCTTAACTTTCCGTGCCATAAGTGCAACAGAAAGTGAGAGGATACCTCTGCGGGAGAAGACATTCCCTGTTGAACAGGTGTCCCGGGAACATGTATACCCTTAGGACGATTTACCCTCTATTACTGTACAAGTGACATCTTCCAATCCCCCTGACAATGGTCACAAGGATAAATAGAGAGGCTCGATCTTTCAGTCAGCAATAAAACCTGACGGTTAGCCTTCCCATCTCTATCCAACACTACCAAAAAGTCTTCTCTTAAGATACACTTTAAGACTCATACCAACTAACTTTGATTTCTGAGGAACTCTTCCAGAGCAAAGTCTTACCTGAGCTATCCTCAATGTTTCTACATAAAGGGAAAAGATTATATTTTCAAAATCCTACCGCATAAAAGATTTGACCCCCTAGTCTCTCCAAGCCAGCTATCTGTCACCATCAATGTCCTACTAATGTCCTCCACAACCACAACCTTAGATTTAGCTGAGGAAGCTCCATTCTATAGAATTGTCTTCCTCCTTCTATTAGACTTATTCTCACCATCAAAAAGTTTAAACATTCCCCTAAAACCTATTGTTTCCAAGCCAGCTTGGTACCATCATCACTGTCCTACTAATGGCCTCCACAACCATAACCTTAGATTTAGCTGAGGAAGCTCCATTCTATAGGATTGTCCTCATTTTATTAGACGTATTCTCACCATCAAAAAGTTGAAACATTCCCTTACACCCCATTGCTTCCCAGCTATCTTTCACTTTATTGTTGACATTACCCGGAAAGCTTCAATCAGCACAGCTGAAGCTCCAGATCACAGAGGCTGTTTTTGAAACACTAACCCCCGAAGAAGTGGGCGGTTGTACCCTGAAATGTTATAATAGTGTCTATTACCTCCCCATAAAAGCTTTTTCCTTTCAAGACCCCAGTCTACATTTTTTACCTTCTAGAATTGATACTTGCATTGCCTCTGAATTATTTTTCTTCTATCCCAATGGACACTAGCATTGCATTGAAAGTTAAAGGGTCCTAGGCTCCCCCCCTAGAGAGTAATCAAACACAACAGCCCTAAAGGCCTGTGGAGACAGATCTATTCTTCACAAGCTCTTCACCATAGGTTTGCAGATCTTTCATGTCTTCTAGCAACCTTGGATTGTAAACTTTCTCACGTCTACTCATCCAGCTACAAATGGATTGCGATGACTACCCCATAAATATCTCTTCCCTACTCTTCCGCCTCGTGTGGGTTCCTCCTTGTCTTGTTTGGGAGATTTATTCAGATGATTATCCAGAAACCAACATTGACCCACTGCCTTCTCCCTTGTCTTCTGTATCTAGCTCCCCCCCTCCCACCTTTCAGACTGTAAATTCACTTGGACAAGATCCAGACTAGTGAAGGGCTCAGCCTCTTCTATCAATCCCAAAACTGATAAAAATTTGTGCTACGTGGTAACACTTCTTATGTTGTAAAGTTCCAACATGTATTCAAATACCAGTGCTCACAATGACATTCCTTTGGTTCATCCTTTATTGAAACAGACTGCAGGACATTAAAACCGTGACCTTGGGCGCTGTTTTTATGTCCCAATGTCTAGTTCAAAAAAGGATGGCCTGAAGGGACTCCACTATGAGTGATGGTCTTTGGAACTTTATACTCTGGCAAAGCCCTCATCTGCTTTTGTAAAAAGTTTGTCTACATGGTTTGAGGGGGTTGTCGTGTTCACCTAATGTGATGTACAGCTCTGTTGGTAGTTTCTAAATAGAAGATACTATTAAAGTGTATGTGAGCCCAAATTCAGGGTTTTTTTTTTGGTATGTTTGGCATCATGACACAGTATACAGTTTTTGTTTTTTGTACATTTGTTACAACGTTTTCTACCAGGAGATCCTACCAATAACAGAACTTCCTGTTTCAAGCTTGAAATGCTAAACCACTGCCATGCACGCTTCCTCAGCTTGCCATTGGGCCACCTATTTGGTGTGCGCATGCCTTCAGTAGACCTGATAGGTAGGTCAATGGCCAACTTGAGGTGTGCACATGGCACGCTGACCATGCTGCTGTCAACTGAGAGATAAGGGCCTGGTATTGTTGGCCTGCTCGGGATCTCCAGATAAGAAACTTTGCAAAAAATTCAAAACTGTATGCAATGATATATATATA